TGATTTCACGCACTGCACCTCTAGTATAGACATACGCCACATCTTCTCACCGTCAGCACAATGTGTTCACAATGCACGTTTACAGACACAAATAGCCAATAAAATACCAATGCATCTGCATCGGATGTGTGCGCACACGCGGCATTTTCCCCGTGTTTTCGGCAGGAAGTGAGGACGCCGGGGTGGTGGCTGAAGAACCCGCATCCTTACCTTCATCTGGCGGCTCCTCCAGATTTGTTCTCTGCCAAAGTCCCCTACGTCTGCTGGACTTCACTTTCTGAGACTTCCCCCCGCCCCGTGGAAACACAGAGGTACCCATCCTGCCGGGCCCCTGCGAGCATCCTACCTGCGCAGCTGCTGGTCCAGGGCCCCGTCCTGAGCGTTCAGCAGGGACGCAGCGCGGGTCAGGAGCTGCCGGCTGCAGCTGGCGGACTTGAGTTCCAACATGAGGAGGCCCAAGCAGAACATGGCTCCCATCTCCTCCAGCTCCCGGGTCCCAAACTGCAGACCCTGCAGGGAGAGAGAGGCCGACAGTGAGCAGGCTGAGCGAGGACCCTCGGAGACGGGGAGGGAGGTCTCCTGGACGCACACACGCCCGCCACGGGGATTGGGAGTGAACGGTATTTCTCGGGCACAGTTCCGTGGGTTTTGTCGTGTGCTTTGTGGACGGACAGATGGATCTCGAGCTGCGTTTCCAGGATACTTGGGGTTGCACAAAAGTACCCCGAAGGCAGAAGGGTGGGTAAGGACGCAAAAGTCATCTCCCCCCACCGAGGTCAAGGCAGTAGAGTTTAAGAACAGTTCACTGCCCAGCTGGCATGGCTCAGTGGTTAGAGCATCAACCTATGAACCAGGAGGCCATGGTTTGATTCCCAGTCAGGGCACATGCCCAGGTTGCAGGCTCAATCCCCATCCAGCAGGGGGCGAGCAGGAGGCAATCAATCGATGATTCTCATCGTTGATGTTTCTACCGCTCTCTTCCTCTCCCTTCCTCTCGGAAATCAATAGAAATATATTTAAAAATAAAAAAAGAGGGGTTCACTGTTGCCCTGGCCAGCGTAGGTCAGTGTAGAGCATCAGCCCACGTGCCAAAGGGTCGCAGGTTTGATTCCTGGTCAAGGGCATGTACCTGGGTTGCAGGTTCAATTCTCAGTCCCCAGGTTAGGGCACATGTAGGCAACCAATC